ATATATTCAATTTTTTTTCTATTTCTTTCATCTAATAAACATTGAAGAAGGATTTTCGTTTCATATTTGCTACTAATAGTTATTGATTATTTTTATCTTTTAATCCCTTTTATTATAAATAGTCTATTAAAGAGTCTTTTATTTTTCTGTAAATTTCCTATTAAGAACTTTTAATTTGCAAAAAAAAAAATTATAAACTAATTTTAATTTAAAATATTAAGTTATTTAAATTTAATATAAATTATAAATTATTGAGTAAAATATTATATAAAAAAATCATTCTTAAAATATGTAGACGTCTTTCCATATAATATAATATAAATTAAATTAAAGATTTCATAATTTATCACTTACTATCATCAATACTCTGACAAATATTTAAACAAATAACAATATAAGAATGATAGAATTGATTTAATTTTTATGCTTCTACTAATTAAAATTAGTACTTTATATCTATTTATTTGAATTTGTGTTAGAGAATGAACAATATGTTATTTCACTAAAATCTTTAAAATGGTTGATTATTAACATTGGTGTTGATCTGGGTGACTCTCAAAAATCAGTTTCTCAAATTATTTCTATTATTTGTTAGTTGGCTCCTAAAGTTGTTATAATTCTATTTTTTATCTTGGATTTTTTTATATTCTACATATATTTCTTTTCTTATTTTTCTTTGTTGTATGTAATATAAATACAAGTTAGATTGGTGAATGGGTTAATAAGTAAGAGTGAAAGTTACATGGAGTGTTTATACAAGCTAAAAGTTATTATGAGAATAATTCCTCGAAATTTATATTTTATACATACAATAAATTAAATATATATATATATTAGAATATAATTTTTATTTTTTAAAATATATTATTTTTTAGATAAAAAATTGTGTATGTGTAAATGGTTTGTTTTCGATTTTTGAACTACACTGGTGCATTATGTTGGTTGGCGTTTTGGAACGGTCCGTTCTGAATCCAGAACGGCTCATTTTGGATTCCAGAACGGCCCGTTCTGGTTTTATAATGGCCTTTTCTACTGCACGCGTTGGGGTTAAATAATGCATATGGAACGGGGCGTTTCAGATGCAAAATTTACACACCATGAGTGCTACCGGAACGGGCCGTTCTGGTTTCAGAACGGGCGATTCCGGTTCCAGATGCATGACAAAATTTGACGTCCACGTGGCATGTACGTAGCTTCCACGTGGCATCTACGTAACTTCCAAGTGGCCAATAGTTAACTCAGTCTAAATAATTTGGACGGAAGTTCAACATTGCAACCAATTAATTTATTAGGAACCAAATTGAGACAAAAAATAAAAGTGGGACTAAATTGAAACAAACAATTATTATAAGGGACTAAAATATTATTTTAGACTAAAAGATTTGATTGGTTGCCAGTGTAAAAAAACTTTACACTGACAGTGTATAAGTGATTAACTCATATATATATATATATATATATAATATGTTTAAGAAGCAAATATTATGTAAATACATTGCTTTTTGAATAAAATAAAAGCCATGCAACGGTTTGCAATTTAGTGCATCCCCTCTTGGCATGAGAAATATGATTTTTTAGATATTATATTCATATTCATTTAACAAATATATATATATATATAAATATATATATATATATATATATTGCAACTTTACTATTTTACTGTTTCTATATATAAAAAAAAAGGTATAATGCTTTTATTTTCTTTCTAATCTTATATTGATTATTAGAATTTTGATATCTATATTTTTTTTCTCATAATATTTGATGATGTAAAAGTGAGAAATGAAAAAAGAAACAATAAAGATAATATTATGTAATCAGGAAATCTCCTTAATTACTTTTAGTGAGCCTTTTTAGTTATATTTTTCCTTTTTACTTACAAAACTTGAAACTGGGATCTTGTTTAAAGGGATGGGATCAAGTATCACTTGAACCAACAACTTATTAATACACTATCACATTTAATATTTTATTAGAAAAATTTATTAATTATTTATAAAAAATAAATTACAAGATTTAAAATTTTCAAGATATAGTTAATATATTAGATTTTTTTTTAGTTTCTTTTCTTGAATTTACCAAAGTGAGAGATAACTTTTTTCCCAAAAAAAAAAAACTTTTTTTTTCAATATTTAAAATGGATGTTTATGCTCCTAAAACTTACTTAACACATATAATCTATTATGGAGTTCTTTCCTCATCCAATGACTTTCATTTTAATCTTATTTATTAGTTATTTCTTTTGTCTTGGTATAGCAGCAGATTGTGGCGGGAAGAATGTTGCATACACCATTACTGTCGGTCGGAATGGTAAAGTAACATTTAAAACAATTCAAGCTGCCATTGATTCTATAAAGAGTAACAATGATCAATGGGTCAAGATTCACATAAAAGCTGGCTTCTATACGTAAGTTGAATAGGTATAATTTATAATATCATGTAAAAAATTTGTTGTATTTTTACTAAATTTTTTATTTTATCAACAAACAAGATCTTTTTTTAAAAAATATAAAGAATACCCCATGCTTTAAAACAACAATAGCTCTATATAAGTTATTAACTTATGGAATATTAAACCCAGTTTTTATAGCATTGAGAAATTAAAATAAGATAACACCTATTTGCTTATTTTTCTTAAATGATGTTATTTGTATAAATAAATAAAAAAAACTAAAATAACTGAGTAATTAAAAACACTTTCTTGATTTTCTTGTTATTATTCAAACCATTTTTTTAGTAGTGAGACTTAACCATTTCCTCGTTTACAAGTATTATTTGCTTATTAATAAGAAAATAATCGTTAAGGGAATATTCATTTTTCTTATTTTTTGGCATTTGTGAAACATGATATTTTTTTAAGATGAATGTCTAAACACACTACAAATTAAAGTTACTTCATACAAAAAAAAATCTGATAAAGTTTCATCAAAAGTATTTTTTTATTATTCTAATAGCTAGTGTCAATTTAGCACTGAAAATCCTATTTGTTAATCATTTTTGTGTTTCTAACAAATAATATATATTTAACTTCAATTATTTTCTTGTAGTTGATATTGAAATTATTTTTGTTAAAAATAAATTTTTCATGCAGTTTTCTCTTTCTTAAATTTGCAACATTTTTTTTTTTTTTAAATTTACCTACCTTTCCATAAATATGTATATAACTATTCATATATTATAATTATGCAGAGAACAAGTTCATATTCCTCGAGAAAAGCCATGTATCATTTTAGAAGGTGAGAACAGTCAAAACACAATCATAAATTTCTCGGATCACTACTCTGTCCCGCAAGGAACAAGTAGTACTGGTACATTCATTTCATGGCCATCCAATGTGATTGCAAGTGACATTACTTTCAAGGTAAACACAAAATCAATTGATAAAACAACCACATATTTTGACCAATATGATTTATTTTTAATGTATCGCTGTGTAATTGTAGAACTCATATAATGTGGACGATAAGGGAAACAACAAAATATTTCCAGCAGTGGCAGCATCAATATATGGAGACAAAACTTTCTTGCTTAGATGTAGTTTTATAGGTTATCAAGATACTTTATTTGATGTAATTGGACGTCATTACTTTAAGGATTGTTACATTCAAGGTGAAATTGATTTTATTTTTGGTAATGGACAATCTTATTATGAGGTAATTATATATGTAATTTTTTTATTCAGTTTTGAAAATAAAATGATAAAACATTCATTTTAATGTTTTTTTTTTCTGTCACTTGTAGAATTGTTTGATCAATGCTATAGGAAGGAATAAAAATTTAGCAGGTTTTGTCACGGCTCAAAGTAGAGATTCACCAAATGACCCAGGTGGCTTTGTATTTGAAGGGGGTTCCATTGTAGGAAATGGTAAAGTAAATTTAGGAAGAGCATGGCGTGCTTACTCTAGAGTTATATTTCATAATACAAACTTTTCTTCGGTGATAACTCCTCAAGGATGGAACAATTTCGGTCATGTTGGTGAAGAGTAAGTTTTAAATAAAGTAATGATTATTATATTTTATGACTTGATAAATTAAGAATATATTTATTATTTTATGTTTTTATTTAGAAAAATGTGTAACATATAAGTTTGTATTAATATTTTATATTGTAAGAAATTTTTTTCTTCATTTTCTCTTAATTTGTTAACAAATACTTGTAGGAATAAGTTTACTTATGCTGAAGTTGATTGTAAAGGACCAGGAGCTGATACTTCAAAACGTGTTCCATGGACGAAAAAGTTGAATTCTGCACAGTTACAAGAATTTTCTTTAGCATCTTTTATCAATAAAGATAGTTGGCTTAACAATTTACCAATCATCTCCTAATGATTTATTTTCCTCAACTTAGATTAAATTTTTTTATATGGATAAGTTTAGTTGGATGATCTCAAGTTATCAATCTTTGTACGCTCAACTAAAATATAATACTTTTCCATATGAACAGTCTTTTATATTTTTAATAAATAAAAGAGAATGTTTCATTATTTTGTTATATTAATCTTATTATGTAAGTTTTTTATTTTATTTTTGAACATTTAATGATTTAAAAAAAAGTCATTCATGAAGAAAAAACCATGATTAGTTAATTCTTGGAAGAGAAGAATTGTTTTTTCTATAATTGAAATTTGTTAGGTATATCTATAGTGAAGGTAGTACTCTCAGGATGAAAATATTTGGTGGATATTGTATTTACCTAAATTATGTTAATTACCTATATTTTTTTATTAAAAAAAATTATATTAATTCAAGTATTTTATTGTGTCATAACTAATAAATTTTAAGGGAATTTTTAATCTATCAAAAATTATAATTATATATAATTTTAGTTAATTTTATTAAAAATTTAGTTATTTTAATTGATGTGATATTAATGAACAATGTTACAAATATAATATTAATATGATAGATGATGCATATATTAATATATCAATGAAATAATATAATATGTAAAAATAAAAAAACAATGAACAAAATTTCAAACATTATATATATAATCAAAATAGTAAAATATTATGGGATGTCACTAAAAATTAAGAATGTGCTAAAAAAAAACAATGTGACAAAAATACTTACACCTAAAAATTAATCAAGAATATATGCTTGTTGGAAGGTGGATTTACAAACGTTGAAATTTTTGTCATAATGCCACGATTTAAATTTTTATATTTTAAAGTGCTACTCCTTTTTAAATATTGATCATAATGCCACAATTTATATATATATAT